TGAGACACCTTTTTAACACGTGGTAACGTTGTGTAATGGTTGCAGGTAGGTTAAGGTAGGTGAGGGGTTAACAAGTTATTTGAAAGAAGGAAATGGTTACTGTTGTTACAGGACCTGCTCAGATACTAGCATGTGTATTTAGGCCTCCTCTTCTGGTATGACTGTGGCACACATAAAAAGTCAGTAAACACAGTCAGAGCAAAGTAGAGAAATTACTGTGTACTTAACATGCTATTAATGCCTGCTGCATTTGTTGTAAGTTTGCTCACTGTGATCCCATCATTAGGACCCAGAGCTACTTGCTACTTTGTGGCAAAGCCTTTTAGGTTCTGTAATAGAAGGTAGGTTGCTGTGGAGAAAATTTTGCACCCTCATGCTCACTGATGGTGATCACTGCAACCGTGGAATATTTATCCTGCTTTTTTTCCCCTTCAGGTCAAAATCCTTGGTGCCTTACAAGTATCGAGTGCTTGTAGTTACCGATGGTGTTGTGAAAACAAACCTTCCTACCAATTAACCTTTATCGGAGCTGTTGAAGTTTACACATTAGGTTTTAACAATTTTGACAAGAGCTAATCATTAGGATAAATTGTGTGTGTGTTGGTTTCTGGTGTAGGAACCCTAATTCTGTTGTTAATGGGCACTGAGGGCTTCCAGTCCTGTATACTGTACACCGCCCTTCTGGCAGAATACATTAGAGTACCAAATGTGGATTAATCCACTACTGACAACAGTCCCCACAATATATATCCCGTTTGAGTAAGGTGTGCTAAAAAGTGCAATTACCTGCTGTTTGAGGAAACTACTGAGCCTAAAAATGAAAATATATATTTTCACCATAAATCTTGATTGTATAATGGTGTGACACTGCCAGGAGTAGACTCTTTTATATTGAATGTTCTTGCGTGAGACAACTGTGCAAACAGTGTGTTTTACGAAATGGACTGTCTGGAAAATATATAACTACGGTGGCTTAAGCCTTAAGCCTAGCAGAAATGTTCAATTTCCTGGACATGACTCACCAAAATCAGTGTTTTTTGCCTTTGCTCACTGTTTAATATAGCCCCCAGGTTAGGGGTCCTCAACTTTTACTTTCAACAGGGCCATCTCCCCCCCTTCCAAATTCATTAGGGTATTATTGCATTATGATGTGGAATAAACATATTTTATGAATGTTGATTAAAGACAGAAAATATCTCAGTATGGTTGTACTAATCTGCTGTTGACAATACAGTATTTAAAGTGTGACATACCAGACAGCCTGAAACCTGCAACAAAGCCTTAGCCGTATTTGATTTTTTTCTGTACATTCTCTGTGAGTAGTTTTAGATAACACTCTTTTGTCCCGCAGACAGCGCCTTGCTGTAGTAATTGTCACAGGTGTAATTTGAGCAGCTCCTTTGTGCCTCTGCAACAGTTACGTCCCCATTGGCAGTCGTAGTGTGCATCGAGACTAAAGCGTGAGGGGAACAATGGAAAGCATCATAAAAGCTTTGAAAATAAATAATGTGTTTTTCTTCCTCTCTCTCGCCACTCAGCCCACTATTTGTCAGAACACAGATGGATTTTTTTTTGTCAGGGCAAATCTTTTGGGAGTGTTTGGAAACACGGCAGGTTTGACTGTGAGGCTACGCTGCTCTCTGTTTAACCTCATCTTAACTGTATTGGGCGATAAAGAATTACAGCAGATTATTCCTGCTGGGAGCTGTAGCGATTAAGTAGCATACAGCTGTTGAACAATAACCTCTAAGAAGCCAGCATGTTGGGAGTGAGGAACTACATTTTGGCACTGGGCCCCTCACTCTTTCATATGATTTCGCTCTCTTTCTGTGCAACAAGCTCACGGGATGAGAGCACAAAATGGTAGTTCTTAAAGGATACAATATAATTTAGGTATAATTATGTGTACTTATTCCTTTTTAATAACTTACGGAAGGCCCTGAGAACAGAAACATGCATTTGACACTTAAGAGATAGGTGTTATTTCTTTTGTATAGACCTTTTTCACAGCTGCCATCTTGACATGATAGTAGGTAAAGACAGGTGTTACACATGAAATTAGGTAATAAGGTCAGTTCCATTTAGTGCAGCAGAGCCTTTCCCGTAAGCCACATGCACAATAGCAGGACCCTGACTCTTAATAGTATTCACTGATAACACCTGTATTTATCCTACTTATTTCATGTCAAGATGGCACCTGTGAAAAATGTCTGTTGTGGAACTCCCATGAAAGAGAAACCAACTTGTTAGGTCTTCGTTAGCTATTGATTTTCCCACTGAGCTTAAAATTTAATAAAACTCATAAATGTATATTTCCTTTTCTTTTTTTTCCAAAAACAGGGCTGTAGTTTTTAGCAAATGTTATCAAATCAGGAGGGAAATAGGGCTTTGTTAGGGAGTTTTTTTTCAGTCGGCAGATGAATCCACATTTTGGGTGTCTTTAGTCAGTGTATGTAGGTTTGAGTAAAAATTAACTTGGATGGATTTAGGAACAGTAAAAGAATTTAGAGTTATGTTGTGTTTAGGGTTAGGGTTATTGGTTGTGGGGTTGTGCCCTGGCCATTGTTGCTGTTTTTTTATTCTGGATTAAAAATTACAGTTTGTGCCCTTGGTATGTTTTAATAATTCCTAATATTAGACCGTGGGGCGGAATCTGGTGGGTTCAGTTTTTCTGATCCGGTGTCTTCTGCTCTTTTCCTCTCCACCGGTGTCCATTTTATGTTGTGTTGTACTCCTGTTATTTCTAATGACCCCTAGACCATGGTTAATTAAAGTGCTGTCCACTAGATGTGTGTTTGCTGTTCTTGTGATTTGTTAATGTTATATATGTGTTGCTGCCAGTCTA